AAATGGGGAAGTCAATAAAACATCTTTAAGAAAGGACTATAATGAAGCACCAAGTACACTGGGTACCTCTAGAAATGCTAATTCCTTACACCTGTGCTTATTTGCACATGTGTGTGCAGCAAAGGGAGCTGGTCCTGCCATTCAGGGCTTTGGGGCATGCCTTGAATGCGCCTTGCTAAACCAGGCTATGGATGGAGAGGTTGGGAATTCCCAGGAGTTTTCTGGGAGGATTAAGAGAAGATAATAGCAATACCTCTGTGGCATCTCTCTGATTCAATGGGATATTGAGAACTCATCCCAGCAGAGGCAGGGTCAGACATAAATAACCTTCTCTTCCTGTGTAAATATTTCTACTCCTTTGCAATGCTTTGTGAGCTTAGCCCACAGTCCCAGAGCTGTGCACAGTGGACACGTGTCTGACTGAATTGGTGAAATTAGGGATCCCTAGGTACTGTTCTCTGGGTGTTGCTTCAGCCCTTGCTGGCAGCGGGCCTCGGGTCAGGACAGAGGCAGACTCCAAATGTCCACAATGATCTGGTAATCAATGTGTTTTTTCTCTTTAGGTCCCTCCTCATTTAGTGGTGGTACAACATACTATGGATCCATGTATGGATCTGCCACTCATTTTCCTTACAAGTAGCCTAACAAAACACAAATTCAGTGGCCATCATAATGATAACAATCATAGAAAGGAGGAAGAGAGAGAGAGAACCCGACCAAAACTATCAATGCACAGCATGATTGCTCCCCCATCACCTGCTCTCTGATGTCCAGCCACTGTTCCCAAGCAGCAATTGGCTCCTTGTGGACATCTGCCCCCAGTTCCTACACTGGGCATGGTGTTCTGTGGTGTGGAATATGCCCTTGGCCAGTTTGGGTCACCAGCCCCAGCTATGCTCCTTCCCAACTTTTTGTGCACCTCCTCGCTGGCAGAGCATGAGGCACAGAAAGCTCCTTGGCTCAGGTCTAGCACTGCTCAGCCACAGCCAAACCATCTTTCTGTTACCAACATTATTCCCTACTGTACCAGCTGCTGAGAAGAGAATGAATTCTCAGGAATGAAGTTCTCATAATTAGAATGAATCCCAACCCAAGCCAGGACAGGACTCCAATACACACAGTGCCATCCCAGAGCTGCTGGGAGGAGGATACCAGCAATGAGAGCTGCTGGAAGCTTGGAATTGTTTGTGCCTGGCTTGAATGCTGCCTCTGTGTGTTCCTTAGGTCGAAGATATTAATGGTAGAAGAAACACTGTCTTTTCATGACATGTCTGTCAAGGCTGGACATCCTGCTAAGAACTTCGGGCTTATAGAGACTTGGAACCATCAATTTCAAGTATCCCATCCATGATGCCATCAGTGTGATGAAGCTCCTGTTAGTAATGTGGTTACAAGGTGTTTTGTTTTTTCAGGCCTACAAATTGTGAGCCTTGCACAGAGGCTATGCCAAGCTGGATTGTGGGCTGCTATGAGGGGGTGTATCACAGCACCCCACCTCTTCCTGCAAGAGCTCCTCTTATTTATTCTGTTAATCATAATGGAAATACCATTAAGTTGGGCATTTTTGCTTAGCTGTTTTAAATACTGTGTTACGTTCTTGTTAATAAAGTCATGTTATTAGTTTGTTAAACGTGATGGCAATTTGTTTCATCTAAAAGTTGACAGCACAACATTAACTGCTACAGCACTAGCAGTTCTGATCTTTGATCTAAGGCGGCAGCTTTTGCCTCTGCCGCCTCTTTCCATCCTGCACATCCAGTGCAGACGCAAAGCTGCCCTGGGAGGTGAGGAGAGACCGTGCAGCGTTCCCTGCTGGAGATTGAGGGGAAATTTCCCGAAGTGGCTGCCACAGCGTAGGGAAGGGTGTAGCCGGCAGAGGGAACATTTCTCTGCCTGGCCTGGGGCGGAGGAAGGGGCTGGAGGGGGCGGGCTGCCAAGACCCTGGGCCGGCTGCCTGCACCAGGTTTTAGTGTCGGTTCTGTGCTCCTGCTGCAGCCATGGCCCAAGCTCGGCAGGGATGTGGAGGGGCTGGCATCCTGGAGGCCGAGCTCACCTGCCCCATCTGCCTGGAGCTGTACCGGGAGCTGATGGTGCTGAGCTGCGGCCACAACTTCTGCCGGCTGTGCATTGAGGAGGCGCTGTATTCCCAGGCCCCACATGCATGGCTGACCTGGGTGTCACCTTGGAGCTACACAACTTCAAGCTGCGCAACATCGTGGAGGCATTTAAGGCCATCACTTCCAAGGCTCGACGAGGAAGCCTCCAGTAGGACGAAGGCGCCGAGAAGGGGAAGATGGACGTGGTTGCCTGTGAGCAGTGCCTGGATGAGCCCCAGCCGGCCATGAAAACCTGCCTGATTTGTGATGCCAGGCCCACCTGAGCAACCACAACGCCAGGGCTTTCCATCAGGAACACATCCTGGTGGAGGTGGGAGCAGGCAAGAAGGAGGAGAGGAGGAGCTGGGATCACGGCAAGCTGCTGGAATGTTGCTGCCTCAGGGAGGAGCATCTGCGTGCTCTGCTCCATGGCCGGGGCCCACAAGGGCCACGAGGTCATCACCATGAAGGAGGGACACGACAAAGAGCTGGTAGGGAGCTCTTCCCTGCCCATGGCCCCTGCCCTGGTGGCGAGGACGGGGGAAAGCCGTAGGAAGGGCGGTGGGGCTTCCACAGGGAGTGGGGATGGGTGTGAGGGGCTGGTGAGGGGTCCTGAGGGCTGGGGGCAGTTTCTGTGGATAACAAGGAAGAGGTCTGCTCCTGAGCAGTGCAAGGCCAATTTCTCCTCTCTCTGATGGGGTTTCCTGCTCCCATCAACTTCCCAAGTTCTGGGTGCTCAGTCCCACTGTCAAGAAACATCCTCTGTGTTTGCCCAGCCCCATCCCCTCCTGGTTTATCTCTGACCATGAGATCCAGGGGGACAGTACCCAGCCATACACTTGAGTTCATTGCCAGCTTTGTTAACCATTCTTCTCTATTTTTTTTTATTTTTAGATCAAAATCGCCAAGTAAATTAAGAGGAGCAGGTAAATCCTTTACTTATAAAATGTTCCCTGCAGATTTCTCCAGTTGGTAATTTAAGGACTGTATGTCCTGCACTTTCCTGCTTCAGTTTTAAGGAGACCTAAGCAGAGTCTCAAAGGCTGTCCTTCACCTTAAAAGAAGGGACTCAGATCTATTCACATTTCTTGTTCTGCTATTAAGAAGATGTGATTTGTGTTTTACAAGGCTCTAACATTCAACACCATTTCTTTACATCGAGGCTTCACCCACTGATACCTCTTCATAATGTAAGTAAATGTTCAAAAATACCATTTATTCCTCAGGACTCTGGCTTGGGGCTGTGAGTCTTGCAGAGAAAATCTCCCACCTAACAATGTGATCAGCATTTTGTTGCATGTATCTCCTGTCCTTGCCACAGCATGTACCCTCAGGGCAGAAATGTCTGGGAACTCAGCAGGGAAATCATTTATCCTCAGCCTGAGGGAGGCATTGGGTTTGCTTCAGCACTCAGGAAAACTGAGCCTGTTCCAAGGAAAGACCACGGAGGGGTTCCCACCAGCTGGGCAGGAGCTGGAGCAAACTCAGTACCTGAAAAGGTTCCCTAAATGGATCCAAATGCTGCAGGAGAGATGAATTGAAACTGAAATTCAGTTTGCAAATTACTATCTTTTTAATTTGTAAATTCAAAAGAAAATCTTATTTTCTTCATCACTTTTTTGGAGCAAATCTAGAGGTATATTTTTTAATCAGTGTATATGTCCATTTATTTCTCTTGTGAGCTCAGTCAGTGGCTGTGCTTTACACAGAATGAGACAGTCACTCAAAACAGGTCAGTGAAAAAGAAATATTTTTTTTCTGAAACAAGGCAATGCTCTACTTGGAAGCAACTTGTCAAATATGTTATAAAATATTACTTTATTTTACAGTAAGTGAAACTTTTCCACCTTGTTTATTCCTACTGCAGGAAAACATTGTCGAGAAGGAACAACATACTTGTTGGAGAATTTTGATTCCTTAGGTCCAGATGTAAGGGAGATGTGAAGAACAGATGTCAGAACTGAGATGGAAAGAAAAACTTGAATATTTTCCAAAATTACCTCTAGTAATGAGAACCTGCCACATGTTTTGATCTCCCCTTCTACCTAAATTCTCCTCCCCTCCTAAATTCTGTAACACATCAAAATTTTTTTTATAAGTACTAAGAATTAACATGAACATAATAAAATTTCCAACTGCTGCTGCACTGCAAACTGTGAACTGTATTATCTCATATGTCTAATTATATTTTTGTAAGATGATTTGTGGTGACTCTGTTGTCACTATGTGGCTGAATAACCACATAAATGGCTCTAGACATATGTAAGCAGGGTTGGAGGGTTCCATACCATCACCAGGAATTAGATGTTGAGAGCATTTTTTGTGGGTAGACTCCCAAGAAATCCAGGCTGAAGTTTTCTCTGCTTTTACAGGACTTGTGGCTACAGCTCTGTTCTGTCACTTGTGCTAATCAACACATACCTGATTTCAGGGATTAAAAGTAAACCCAGCAGTCCATCTCAGATTTAGGGTAACATCTCTTCCTGCTTTAAATGGACTCTCCAGGCTGTGCTGTGTGTTCAGCCCTGCCTCTGCTGCACCCATCAATTGTCAGCACAACAGAAAGTGTGTGGCCAGATTTTGGGAGCTCAAGGTGTAAATATTCCTTCCTGCTCGAAGGCAGCAAGGCACAAAGGGCAGCTGCTCTCAGCACTCAGAGGAGGCAAAAGAATTGAGCCTGTCCTTCAGCATTTTCCTGACCATCCTGGGCTTCTCTCTGGCTGCCAGCTGAAGGAGCTGGGAGCAGCCAGTGCAGGTCAGTGCTGCTGCTGCAGACAGAGTTCCTGCAGTGCTGCAGAGTTCCTGCAGCATCCCTCCCTCAAACCTGGGATTTGTAATCCTGCTGCAGGCTCACCAAGCTTT